GGCTGTCCTGTGGGGTGGTGGGTCCCTCCCTCGGGGCCCAGCCGGTGCCCCTTCTGCTGTGGTCATGTGCTGGCTGCAGCAACAGAGGGTACTGCAACCTTGTCAGGCTGTAGGCACCCATCCTGCATCTCCTGGCACGGCCGGAACAGGTCTGCTGTCCTGGACTGCTGCCTGCCTTGTCTACTGCCTGAGTTGGCTCTGCTGCTGTGCTCAGTCACACTAGAGACATGCATCTAGGGAGGAATGTCTATTAGCTATTTCTGTCAGCCAGCTTTTAGTATTTTAGCATGTGTCTTATGAATACTTAGTAGTGCTTGATTTTTTTTTTTTTACTTTTGTGAGGAACAAAAGCAACTATCTTGTGGAGCTCCAAGTATATTGCAACTGTGAAATTGTCATTATCATCCAAGCTGGTGATTCTATCAAAGAATCAAATCAGATCTCCTTGCCAAGATCAGTAGATTAGTATTAATTTATATTTCTAGCTGGTAATTCTTTGTTAATTGATTCCCATATCAGCTGCTATATTTTTATGTCCAGGGTGGATATCAGCCTAACTGATCTCTTGTTAGGCTAACAATCCTCTAACAAGGATCCTCTTGTTTTAAATTTTTTGATACTGGCACAATATTAACACATCTGGTCTTCCAAAGCTTTTAACTGCTTCTAAAGGCTTTCACTGCTGTTCTAAGATTTATGAGACTTGAGCATCAGTGGACCAGAAATTGTTACAGCGAGCTCTTCTGGGACTCTGCTGGGTCGAAGTCATCCAAGTTGGTTTATTAAAAAAATAGAACTGTCTGTAATAGATACGCAGGGGCAATACAAAAAGATTAGATGATATTACAACAGGGAAAAATGTCCTTCCCACTTTCCAGTTCCTCCACTGGCAAAAGAAATATTCAAGAGCCCTGAGCATAACCTCCCTAAATTTAGACAAAGAATTCCACCAGACCATAATAATATTCTTTGATAGTTTCAGCATTATACATATATGTCCTCACACTTCTTACTGAAAACTGTAAAACCCCAAAGCAGCTGTATGTGAGTCATTGTGGCCTTGTAGTGGAGAAGAAACCCGAATACCACAGGTTAAGAATTTTTGACAACCCAGTGTTTATTACCTGTTGACTGTATTGCTTGGTAGAAAAACTAAGTGATAGAATATGACTTGAGGCATTGTCCTGGTTTCAGCTGGGATAGAGTTAATTTTCTTCCTAGTAGCTGGCATAGTGCTGTGTTTTGGATTTAGTATGAGAATAATGCTGATAACACACTGATGTTTCAGTTGTTGCTAAGTGCTGCTTATGCTAGTCAAGGACTTTTCAGCTTCCCATGCTCTGCCAGGTGCACAAGAAAACTGGGAGGGGGCACAGCCAGGACAGTTGATCCAAACTGACCCAAGGGCTATTCCATACCATATGACATCATGCTCAGTATATAAACTGGGGGGGGTTGGCCGGGGAGCAGTAATCACTGCTCAGGAACTGTCTGGGTATCGGTTGGCGGGTGGTGAGCAATTGCATTGTGCATCACTTGCTTTGTATGTGATTATTATTATTATATTGTTGTTACTATTATTATCATTACTATTTTACTTTATTTCAATTATTAAACTGTTCTTATCTCAACCCAGGAGTGTTTCTCACTCTTACTCCTCCGATTCTCTCCCCCATCCCACCGGGGCAGGGGGAGTGAGCGAGCGGCTGCGTGGTGCTCAGTTGCTGGCTGGGGCTAAACCATGACAGGCATGAAGAATGGCATGCTGGCACACATCTTCAGAGGAACATTTACTTATGAAACATTCTAAATGTACCACTATTTGCACAGTTAAACCAATAATCCTTTTCTGTGGAGAACATGCGATTTAGCTTCATGATTAAGAGTGGAGTAAACATGGTTTGTCCATTTGTGGAATGTTAGCTTTTCATATTGATAATTATCTTTGGTGTCTAATATTCTTTATCAGTCTCTCTGTATTGTACTATAGACAGAACACACTGCAGCTTGGAACTGGTGATAAAATCACATTTAACCCTATTCAGGTTTTTCTAACTTTCATGTATAACACTTTACTTTTTCTTATCATTTGCAGTCCAAAGATGAACCCAGGTCTACATACAATGAAGACAACATGGTTCATTCTATAAATGACCTTTTCTTGGGTGGATCAGAGACAACAAGTACTACTTTGAACTGGGGCCTTCTCTATATGGTGGCAAATCCAGACATTCAAGGTGAGTAGGTAAGCTTGTCTCAAATATCTCTGATGCGATAGAACAGCCAAGTCATAACACTTTCATGGAACAGAGATTATTCCTAGATACTAGTGGCACATGGACCTTTTTGTGCTGGTAGATCTGCGCTAGACAGCATTGTTAGATCTGGAGTATCTGTATAGAGGCTCTTACAGCAGTTACAGGCATAAGGCAGTTCACAGAAAGAGTTAACAGTCTGGGACGTATGCATATGTATAGGAGGTTGTGGCTAATTGAGATGGAGGGGTTGAGGTCTTCAGGGAAATGAAGATTGTGGTAGGGTGGTCAATGGAGTAAGAGGATTGGAGTTGATGTTTGGGAAGCCAAAGTGTTCGCATGCATAATCCTTGAAGGAACAGTGGCCACTGCTGCAGCCATTGGTGGGGTGCTGATGGTGCTTCAAGAAACTGAGCTGGGTTCTGTCTTAGTCATAAACACAACTGATGGCTGAAAATAATTAACCAGAAACTGATGTGTGATAGTAGGGATGTCACTCTTTGGAAACTTACTTCAATTCTGCTTTGTGTTGGCTGAATATCAGCGATGGGGGCTACAGGGAGTCCTGCCCTTCTTTGTGCTTTGTCGGTCACAGAAGTAGTAAAGATAATCACCTAAAGATCAATGGGCAACTTTGACTTTATTTTTGTCCATCAGTCCATTTATGATCCCAAGGCATCAGGGTGTCTATTTAATCTGTGATGTATTTGAGTTTCTTGCAACAGAAATTATTCCAGTTGGGAAGGGAATTTGATGTCCCATATGTTATGTCTATGTATATTTAAGAAGTTTATTTTTTAAGTCAAGCTTTTAAATAACCATCAATCACTTTCGTAGAACACTAAATGAAAACCAAAGAAAGAATGATCTCTTATGCTGGATAACAGAAATCTCATTGTTAGATAGTAGAATATGTGCAAATACCCAGAGGAGAACAGGATTTTAAATGCAGGAAAGAGGTGAAGATAAGAAAAAATTGCTCAATTTGTAGCTCTCAGACAATAAGGTATACTTAATTTTGTGTTAGTGCATCTTTATTATCACCTAATGTAATTAAGGTTATGAAAGCACTGACTCACCTAAATAATTTTATTTATCTAAATATAATACCTTGCACTAACTTTGGGAAAGCAGGGTGTGTGCAGAATGATCCTTCCTGGGCTGCTTGAGTCATATATTGCATCTAGACTCTCATAATGAACTGACATCAGTATATCTGTCCTCATTTAATTGGTGGCTTCTTTTTGAACCCATTTATACTTTTGCCTGTGTTGACACACAATGACAATGTTATGCAGTTCCATTATGTACCATAAGGAAAATTCTGGCCTTTTGCCTAATCACTGAATCCTTGTTCTCTGAACTACTGGAGCAGAGATGCATATTTATACTATGCAGTGACTGATCACTTCCAACTATACTGGATCCTGACGTAGTCGTGCCTGATTTTGCAAGCCAAGTTCTTCATAGAAGGAAATTTACTTAAAAATATTTCTGGATATACATTTTAAATTCTGTATGGTGCTTAAATCTCTGTTGTCAGCGTCTACGTAACATAGTTTTGTGCAGGACTGCTGGCAGTCACTGAGCAGGCTCGATGTGCATAAGCACAAACTGGTCAATGCACAATGGGCTTCCCTGCATCTTAGTGTTGCTTCAGAGTGCCTGGAAAAAGACAGGATCATCTGGTAAAAATCTAAGGCATTTGTATTATGTGTATACTGCCTCTCTCGATGTTTACAAAACAATTTTTATACTTTTGTTAATGCTCCCAACACTCCTGTGCAATAAGTAATTTAAATCATGCTATTTTTGATCAAAAGGCAGGTGCCAAGAAGCAGATCCAGTTTTTTTTTTTTTTAAAGGTATTTGGACATTGTTCTAGTTGGCATTGCTTCACTTAACAGACATCCTGTATAAGAACCGTTTCCTTTTAATAGGAATTAGGCTTTTAAGGCCCAGATTCACCTGGCTTAAATTCCAGAGAGCTGTGAGCTTAGTGGTTCTAACTGGCTGTAGGTACCCGAGGGACCTAGTCAAAAGAAAACACAAAGATAAATCACTTATCTCTTGCATCAGAGTGTTAGTAAGGCAACTGTTAGAGTTTTAAATTTTTGAGCAACAAATGTCTTTTCTTAATCTACAATCAAATAACTTCAGACCCAGAAGTAGAGCTCTCATATGTTTAAGCTGTTGGAACACCCTGCTACTTTTATTTTCTTTATAAAGCTTACTTACATTTTTACATGAATTTTGTTGCTGTCCTTGTAGTTGTAAATGGGAAATGTCTTTGAAAATGGAATTAGTGAAAATACTTGATATAGTTTTCCACCTGCAATCGTGAATGTTTCTCCGCAGAGAAAGTGCAGAAGGAGCTGGATGCCGTTCTGGGTCCTTCCCAGTTAATCTGCTATGAGGATCGGAGAGAACTGCCCTACACAAATGCTGTGGTTCATGAGGTTCAGCGCTTCAGCAATATTATCTCAGTTGGCCTGCCCAGAGTGTGCGTGAGGAACACTACGTTGCTCGGCTTTCCCCTCAAAAAGGTACAGACACAGTTTCTCGTTTGCTACAGACCTTTCCTGCATCAGTAGAGCAAGGCATGAATTAAAATATATTTGTGCCAGCTTCTTCTCAACAGCAATGGGGTTGGATACCTCTGGGTCACAGCCTGAATGGGAACAGGGACAAGAAACCATCTGCCAGGCTGAGTTGAGTGACGCAGCTTGTGGGAGAGGGTTATCAGTAGTGAAAGATGCCCCTGGATGGAAGAGGGGATTTTAGCAAGTGTTTCTACAAACCAATGAAGGCAAAACCTTAGAGATTGATACTGAAGAATACTATGATTGATTTGTGCTGATAAGGCATTGGAAAGGTATCTGACCGAATTTTTGCCTGCAGAAAGCCTGTTAAAGGTCCAGGGAAAAGCATGAAGGTTTGCAACTAGCTTTCATCAAAGAGACTAAATCACAGAAACTTCTAATGTTAGAAGTGAAAATGAGTTTAGTACAAATAAAGTTGTTTGTTTCTAGTGACACGACCACTTCCATGGTCAGACTTGGACCGACATTCTGAAACAAAGAGACTTCATGTTCCTCACAGTTCATACTGGGGAAGTGAACCTACCAGTGTACAACACTGAATCATAGAATCATAGAATGCTTTGGGTTGGAAGGGACCTTGAGAGATCATCGAGCCCAACCCCCCCCTGCAGTAAGCAGGGATTGAACCTGTGACCTTGGTGTTATTAGCACCATGCTCTAACCAACTGAGAACTCTGAAAGTAAACTAACACTGGTCTCACCTAGCCGGTTCTGACTGCTGGGGGAGGATTGACAGCCAGAACTGAGTTAATGTTTTTCTCCTTTCAGGGCACCATAGTTTTTCCAAATATTGCTTCATCTTTGTATGACCCAGAGCAGTGGGAAACACCTCGACAGTTCAACCCTGGTCACTTCTTGGATAAGGATGGAAACTTTGCGAGCCAAGAAGCTTTTTTACCATTCTCAATAGGTCAGTGGACTGACAGCACGAACATTAATCGTTTGGATTAGGATGGTAGAATTAATATATCTATTAAAAACCTATTGGTCATTTATTTTAAACCTGTTTGTGGAAAACAGTGTTAAAATCAACAAGATTATTTTCAGTAACATTTCCCAATCCAACTATAAACATTTGTTCTACTGAACAAATAATAACATGGAAAATCAGAGATGTCCTGACAAATGTATACATCTAACTTGCCCTATTTTTGGAAGGAAATTCTTTGCTAATGATTATGGTTATTGATTTGGGGCATACATTTCAACACCAGGCATCATCTGGAAAGTACTTGCAAGCAGCTGTGCTGATTCTTCATGCACACAAAACTGGATCACCACATCTCCCAGGAAGAGCAAGTCCTTATTCTTCATTTACATGATTGAACGAATTCCTTTAAAGTGTCAAATGAAGATGAGGTTTTTGAGGTAACTGAAGTGAAACTCAGAGCAGAAGGGATGCACAGTTATCTATAGCTGCAGATAGGATTCTTTAAAGGAAGAATTACATGAAGTTTTGTGTCATTGATTGCATTAAGTCCTAAAGAAATTATGGACTCAGCAAGAATACCTTTGCTTTGTGTGAGAATGAATACGATTGCTTTTGAGGTCAGGGTAATTTAGTCACTGTCCTTCCCCTCTTCCTTCTGCAGGGCACCGTGTGTGTTTGGGGGAGCATCTAGCAAGGACCGAGCTCTTTATTTTCTTTGCCAACCTGCTGCGGGCATTCACCTTCCGCTTCCCTGAGGGTGTGACGAAGGTCAACACAGAGCCCATGTGTGGGGGTACGCTGCAGCCCCACCCATACAGAGTTTGTGCCATTCCACGCTAGGGTGGACATGTGCAGTGTGTCACAGACCATCTATTAAGTAATCTTATTTACTTTGGTGAATGTATGTCTTGAGACCATACAATGTTTTTTGTCTTGGATATGAATTTCTGCTCTAAAAGCCACCTTTTGTCTACAGCAGGTAATTTTGTGCAGGCCCTCTTACCTGCTCTTGAAGGTGATCTTTTTTTTTTTTTTTTTTTGGGGGGGGTGGTGGTGGTGTAAAAGTTCTTTTGATCTGGAGCACACCATTATTCTCAGCCATAAAGGCATCATGCAGTTGCTGTCTGGCCTGGCAGGTTTAAATCTGGTACGCTGGTAAACAAATGATAACATTGACTGGTAGGCTTCAAAAATTAATTAATTGTCTCTGAGTTGTCCTGTTTTCAAAAGCAATGGAGTTTGGAAAAACATACCTGGAAGATTCTGCCTCTTTACATTACTGTCATCACTCGTAACATTTCAGTCAACTTTTTGTTGATGGTCACTAATAAAAGACATGAAGGAAAAATTAGCAACTGCTTTTATTTATAGATGACTTACAGTTCATTAAGAATTTCTAGATTTGATGCAACAGAACATGTATAAGGCAACTTTATCTGCCAGAGGATAATTGGTTTGAGTCCAGCAGAGAAAAGGTGTGGGCTGAAACTTGGTGAAGGGTGAAGATACAGAGACAGGATTTCTTTTAGGGCAGATACTTTTAATATTTTAAAATTCTGCCAAGCTAATTTTTGGAAAGTCCTTTCTAACAGAGCAACTGTTTACTCCTGTGGTTGACTCCTGTCAGGATCAGCACTGGGTGGTCGCTACAACAGGTGCAAGGAGTTCCTCCAAGGCGCAGTTTGGGTGAGGAGCCTCCTGGAATTAGAGCTGATGGTAAATTGAAAAATATACGTGGAAAACACCAGAAATACTTTTTAATCACCTCAGAAGTTCAGCAGTATACCTGAAGCTACAAGGGCTTGTCATATATACAAAATACTGGTCAAATTCAGTGAAAGAGTCTATAATAGCAGAAAAGGAAAGAAATCACTCCTGTGGTGGGTATAAATTTATTTATATTGTCTGGAAAAGACTTTTAAAGTGTAAGTGAACTTGTCCTTCATTAATATTCCTATTTCTGTGAGAGGATAGGACAGCTAAGCAGACAATCAACTGTTAAATCAGTTATCACTAGATGTCAACTGCTGTGTGACTGAGATTAGTTTAGGCACTTTACCATGAATCACAAATTTAGACCTGTCTCATTATTTCTAATTCAACAGCTGATGGAAGCCAGCATCAAAATAGTAAGCACTTGATATTTAGCTGTTATTAAATTAAATGGCAGAATAGCACTAGTGAAATATGGTAGATCACATCCTGACATTTTATTTGACAGAAAGCTGTGTGCCCTGTTAAAAACTGATGTCAAAGTCTCTGTGGATTTGCATGTGTGCACGGATAGATAAGGCAAAGCAGCAAACGCTGTGATTTGGGGATGTTGGGGCTGTCATTGCATCTTAAAAATGAAGCTGGAAACGTCAGTAGCATTACAAGCATTAACATCATTGCTATGTGATGCTGTCACTCCTGATGGCCACATGCTTCCCCCAGTATCCTTCCAAAAGGGAAGCTCATAAATAAGCCTGAGATGGAAGCTTGCCCAGGAAGGCCCATATGCAGCCGGAGCAAGATGAGTTGCCTGAAGCAAAAACAATGGACATAACTACCACTTGTCCGGATGCTCACGAGGAGACACGCAGGATACTTCACAGGAAAACTAGACATCGTACGTGGGTAGGTTATTCGCGCATGTTGTGCTAATGTCTGTCCGTGACAGGAGCTGCTCCTTGGTGGTTTTTAATCCATTGTGCACAGATGCCCGGGAGAGGAGAGCCCAGCTTATGAGGTGTGGCAGCAGGACATCAGCGGGAGGCTCACATCAGGGAGATGGGAGAGGTATGCTTTTCAGTCTTTGCATTTCCATTCTTGCCTGACCTATTTTAAAAGCGATTCACTTTAGCTCATGTTCTAATAAAGCTTGGTCTCTCTGAGCTTTTAAAAGCCTTTTAAAGCCTGGCTGATGTTGCCACAGAAGACAAACAAAGCTGAGAGCAGCTTTGAGAGGAGCCCAGCTGCCACTCCCATGTTCCATGCCAACTCTCTCAGCCTTGGCTGCATGGTGCCTCCTCCATCAGGCTGCCGAGCCACATCACTCCAGGGCTGCTGGTCTTAAGGGGTGTCTGGGAGACCTCCACCATATCCTTCATTCCTCTCTCTTCTCTTATTTATTGCTTCTACATTATTTCTTAAGGCTTGCTCAGGCTCCATTTTCAGGACAGATGAGAAGGATTGACACCCTTTCTGTCCTCTGTATCATGGGTGCTACCCAGCCTGCTAGTGTCAGTGCACAGCTCTCTTGCACCCACATTGTCACCTTTCTCTGTGATGGCTGAGGTTAGTTGCTTTTAGCCTGTAAAGCTGAACGTACTTTGGTGCCTGATTTCTTGGCATGGGGCCTCATTTAAAGGACTACTGTTCTCCTGAATTGTCACATCAGTGTGTAGGTCAGTCTCTGTCTTGCACCTTTTAGATCACGCTTCAAAATTTAAATCCTTGTAGACAGAACATTGAAGAATGATTGGGAGCTGGCCTGGGCGACCAGTCAAGGAGGATAGACTTGCAGGGAAGGGGACTGACTGACTTGGTTAGGCCACACTGTATTTTCCTGGAAACAAGCTGGAAGTTCAGGTTTTTTTACAAACATGGGAAGATGGTTAGGATTTAGCATAGTGGTTTTATCAGATATGGAACTCTGCTTTGTCCTTCTTCATCACCCTGTCCTCCCCTTGTTGCTGAGCTCTTCCCCTGTGACTCCCCAGAGTAGCACCATGCAACTGTTCAACTGTACAGTGGAAGATCTGGCTATAAAGGAAAATATAGAAAATGTAGAGAGGCAAAGTTGAAGATTTTGGGTTCATGTAGCTCTTGGAGAGGCTCAGAGCCTTACGATACCGCTGTGCTCATCTGTCTCCCTTTACACTGAATTCTGCAAGGACACTCCAAACACAGAGGGCTTGTCTGGTGAAGGTGGCTTCACAACTCTTTGTCTCTGGAGTAGCTCATGTCAGCAGGTATGAGAGGTAATTTTTTTATGTATATAATTGAGGCCAAAATATAAAAAGAAAAGAGAAAAAATTTAATTATGTCTTTGCTCTAAAGGCATTTGGAGAGAGAAAGCTATAATAATTATATACATAACTATAAATGACAATTAAAACAACACATGTACGTCAATTTGTTTTTTTCCAAAATCAGGTGGAAATAAAAGGTTTTCTGTCAGAGTTTTAACTTTGTTAAAATACAGTTTTCCTGAAGTTAACATGTAAAATGTTTTCATGTTCACAGATCTTTACTCAACAGAGAAGAAAACATTTTCTCAGAGGTAAGAGGTTAAGAAAAGTAGATTACTGCTTAGTGCAGAGATATTTTAAAATATACCTTGGCCTAGCAGTCCTTTTTTTACCTGGTGATAATAAAAAAGAAGAATCCTAAGGAAAGGAGAAAGGTAAGAAAAACAAAACAGTTCCAGGAAGAGAGCCTTAGAGTTTGTGAGAATTTAAATTTTTCCAGTATCAGCTACAAGACAGATAAAGCAGCAAGGAGCTGTGAAGACTGAGCAAATCTTTAGTGGCTCAAATGATTTCTCTTCTAGCTGTTTGCTTTCTGAACTTACAATGGACCAGTATCAGCTTCCTTATGTATCAACTACAAAATGTGATCATAAATGTCATGATTTGGGAGTGTGGGAAACTGTGACTGGAGTGGAACAGGAGGAGTACATAAAATATATCACTTTAGTGGGAAGAGAGAGCACACTGAAAAAAAAAAAAGTTCAAGCATTTATATCAAATGTTGTGCTGAGTAGAAGGCAGAGGGGTTGCACAGCTGTATTTGGACATTAGGATGGACATTCAGCACCAAGACTTTTGAACTGGCTGTAAATAACCTTGCTCAGGGAGCAGAAGCAGGCCAAGCCAGCTGTGCAGGAGCTTGCCCTGGTTTTCAGTGGAGCAATTAGCCCAGGCAGGATTTTGCCTTTCTGTAGTGAGCTTCTTCCTGATGTCGAAGCGAACTCTTGCAAAGCCAGCATAGATATTTCTACTCTGCACTGTGCTGCACCTGCAGGAAAAAAGTGGACCTTTCCCACCTGTGAGAAGTATTCCCCTTTAACAGGGAGAGAAATGTGGCTCCTATAAAAGAATAAGAGAAGGGCAAGAAATAGAGTGGAGTTATTTAATACATATTCCCACGTTAGCAAAGACACAGTTCTTGCCCTTGTTTCTTGAGCCTTAACAAACATATTCCCGTGTCTGCACAATGTCAGAAGCACAACCTAAAGTGAATGCTTCTGCACTGTCTCATTCCTTGAAGACTTTGCCAGTGACTACTGAGATGAGATGAAAATTTCAACATCTAGAACTTCTAGATGTGTTACCTGGCAGGTTTGCTCTGTGTATCCTTAAAGTTTATACCCAAAGCAAATATAAGTAATAAAGAATAAAAATTATGTATTTCAGTAGTATAATGAAGACCAAGGAAAGTGCTGCTCTCTTAAAACTGCAGTACATCAGGGAGGCTCTCTGGCAGATGGACAATTTAATGCCTTTTTTGGCTTTGGTTGTCAGTGAAAATGGCAATGGTGATCCAGAGGCCAATACATTTAACACCACTGATGTTCGTGGAAGATTTATGTCTAGATTAGGAAGAAGAGGTTAGAAAATAACTAGATAAATGTGATGTTTCAAATTGGCTGGGCTGATTCATCCCAGGGCACTTAGGGAACAGTATCAACCTCAGAGCTATTAGCAGTTTTCTGTGAGAACCTGTGGAGGATGGGAGAAGGTCAAACATTTGCTTGTCTTCAGAAGGTAAGAGAAGGTGCAGTGTTATAAATCAGTCAGCCTGATTGCACTTCTCAGAATATCCTGGAAAAATAATAAAATTATAAGCACTGG